CTGGAAGCGAAGTACTACTACTTAGCCTCTGTCATCCAGGAATAGCAACATCCCCACTGAAATCAGGAAGCCATTCAAAGGAAGGACCTCCCTACTTCATCATCTCGGACATAGCTACTCTATCGCTGTTTAGAACACTGGTGATCTCCTCACTATTGAATTTCTTAATACTCATAATTCACTGCCATCCCTCCACCAACCCACACCCATAGCCTTATGGAAAATTTTCTATGATCGGTTAACTGAGAAAGAAATTCAAGCTTTTTATCTCTCAATTATATACCAATAAAGCTGAAATTAAAAAAAAAGAAATTGAATGGGCCTGGCCCAGTGGCACAGTGGTTAAGTTCATGCGCTCTGCTTTGGTGGCCCAGGGTTCGCAGGTTTGGGTCCTGGGCGTGGAGCTATGCACCGCTTATCAAGCTGTGCTGTGACAGGCATCCCACACATAAAGCAGAGGAAGATGGGCATGGATGTTAGCCCAGGGCCAATCTTTCTCACCAAAAAAAAAAAAAAAAAGAAAGAAAGAAAAATAGAAAGAAAGAAATTGAAGCCTGATTTAAAGATGTACATGATGTGCTGTTGCCAGCCAGAAGTGGAGAGCTATCATTTTATAAACTCATGTAGTAGTTTTATAACACGATAATCATTTATAATTGTTCCTTAGTATCTGATTCCTCATTAGATTTTAAGCTTCTTGAAGGCAAAATTATTCCATTATATATAGTGCAATGACAGTGAAGGGAAATCTTTCCTGTTGGCAGGGTGGTAATTCCTGTCACATTACCAATTAATTTACCTATTGTATCTACTGTAGAACAGAGCGTTTGTAGAACAGAGAAGGATCTTAGAGAATGGGAATAGATTATTTTACGTTTAATCAGATGATGCCAGTTGCAGTTTCTTTACATACATGCAGTAAATCTGACACAGTCTCAGTGCTTAGTATGCAGCTATTGATCTAACAAATGCTTTTTTCTCTACCCAAAATGTAGAGGACACGAGAAGCTTTCATCTGGCAGGGGAAGTAGTACACTGTCACCATCTCACTTCAGTGTTACATCAACTCTTCTTTATGATATAATTTAGTCCTTGGGTCTCTTAATCATCTCACCATCCCACAGCTCACCCTACACATCTACTATATTGATCATCTCATATCTGCACACCAGTTATTTTTCCCAACTCCATGAAGTTACCCTAATAAACAATGGTCAGATAGCTTGGTATGTATGCTGTCTGGTTGTTTACCTCTATTTGCTCTTCACTGGGTTTATACTCCCTTGGCTGATATTTAAGTAGGTTTTAGGAAGGGAGTGGAAGTAGATGAATGTTTTTAATTCGTCGTTGTTATCTGGAAGTACCCAGTATTTCATAAAAGAACTACATACGGTGCATTGTTCCTATTTGCATTCCCCTATGTAGATCCAAGCTTCAGGGCTGACCAAAAGCACTTGTATACCCTGGCATTGCTAAATACATTTGTAAAACTTAAAGAGTGAAAAGTAGGGTATCCTCGTGGTTGCTAAATACATGCGCAGTTGCCTGACTATGCCTTGCTCTTTCTTGCATCTGTGCATTACTCCAAGATTGTCCACCTGGCTAACTCTTCTCCTTTTCAAAGTCTCAGCCCAAATCCTTCCTCTTCTGCAGAAACTTCCCTGATTCCTCAGGACCATAGATGTTGGAGCTGCTTCTCTTGTGTATCCTCTGCACCAACATTAACCCAATCAACACGGTCATTTGTAATTTCTATTTTGATTTATCTGTCTCTTCATTAGATTTTAAGCTTCTTGAGGGCAGGATTGTGCTCTTATATCTTTGTCACCAGCGAAAGTGCTCAACAAAATATTTCTGAAGTAAATGAGTGAAAGAATGCTGCAGACTGAGGAAGCTATTAAGATGAATTAGGTATGAATTAGGTATGAATTCTACATTCAAAAAACTTACAGCCCAGTAAGAGAGAGAGATTATGCACAAAAAAACATATAAGGTAGTAAGTGCCAAGTACCATAACAGGGATAAAAATAAAATTCTATGGGTATTCTATTTCCTCAAATGGAGGAATCTCAGAGATGAATCTCTAGGATTTCATATTTTAAAGATTATGATAGAGACAGGGAAAGTGGAAAAGGTTAGAATATTCTAGGTCAAAGGAAGACCATGAGCTAAGTCCTACAGGCAGGAAAGCTTAGGGTGCACAGAAGGAAGAGAAAGATGTTCAGTTCAATTAAACTGGTACGTGCAGTGTATGTATTGTATTTTTATTTATTTTTTATTTTTTAATTTTTGGTGAGGAAGATTAGCCCTGAGCCAACATCTGTTGCCAATCCTCCTCTTTCTGCTGAGGAAGATTGGCCCTGGGCTAACATCTGTGCCCATCTTCCTCTACTTTATATGTGGGACGCTGCCACAGCATGGCTTGACAAGCAGTGTGTAGGTCCGCATCCAGGATCTGAACTTGCATACCCTGGGCCTCTGAAGCAAAGTGCATGAACTTAACCACTACGCCACCAGGCCGGCCCTAAAATGTATTTTTATTTTGAGGGTCTTGGAGGATACATGAAGTATAAATTTCTAATTTTATGAAAATGTATGTTAATTTATAAACTAATTTATAGGATGGCTGAACACATCTATCCTCTAAGCCAACACACAAAACTCTATTTAGCTCATAATAAAGTTGAACTATGAATTAATTCATTATTTTAACTTTTAAAAATTAATTTTTATTTTAAAAGTAAAATATGTGAATTCACTAGAATATTGGGAAAATTCAAAATAAATTTTCAGTTACACTGAACATTCTACTTTGTAACCTCATTTTTGCACATACCATTCCATGAACATTTCCCCAGGACATTAACCTCTCTTCTACAGCTTGCTTTTTAATGGGCTGGATGCATAGTGTTCCACTGTATGGATATATCAAAGTGCATTTAACCAAATCTTTACTACTGAAAAATTAGATTAGTTCCAATTTTTTTTTGTTGTTAATGATGTGTTGAACATTCTTATGCATAACTTTTTGCACCTATCTGATTATTTTCTTAACACAAATTTCTCTAAATGGAATTTCTTGGTCAAAAGGATGAAAACAGTTTAAAAGGTTTTTGTACATACTGTCAAACTGCCCTCCTAATTATACACTCTCCAGCTGATTCCCTGACTTTAACAATACTGCATATATTGATTTTTGAAAAATCTTTGCCAATTTGATAGGTGGGAAATGTTACCTTATTTTGAAAATTTGATTGTCTTTGATTAATAGAGAGGATAAACATTTTTTCATAGGTGTATTGGTCATTTTCCCCCCCCTTTTTTTATGATTTGTTTTTCACATCCACTAGATGTAAGTTCCAGAAGGTTAGGCAACTTTTTTTGTGTTTTGTTCACTGCTGTATCCTCAGCACCTAGCTTGGCACAGCAGAAAGAGTTCACTAAATTTTTTTTGAATGAATATATTCTCTAACTGGGTATTAATCTTTTTTAAAATTTGACTTGCAAAATCTTCAAATGTAGATATGAAATTATATTAATTCTTCATCTGGCAAATAATTTACCCAATTTGCCACTACTTTTTAAATTTTGTTTTTGGTACTTTTTGTCAAAGGGAATCTCTCAAACTAGTAATGATTTAATATTTGGCAGTTCAAGTTCCCTTTCTTCTTTTTAAAAAATTTATTGATTTAGTCTAATTTTTTCAAGTTAATAAAAAAATCCCATTGGCATTTTGATTAGATTTTTATGTAATAAATAAATAAATCAGGGAGGCAGTATCTTTGTAATTATGAATATTTCCATCTAGAAATATACTTTTTTTAAATAAAATCTTTTATGTACCTCAGTTAAGTTTTGTAGTTGTCTTTATGTAGAGTCTGAACAATTCTTTTTATCTTTATTCCTCAACTTTTTTGTTGTTGTTGATATTTGATTGGGATCCTTCTCCACTAGATTTTCTAAAGTGCTGACTGATACAGAAGCTGTTAATTTTTGTTTGTGGAATTCAGAGTGCTATAGTCATTATATGAATTCCATTAGTTTTAATAACTTTAGGCAATTCTTTTAGATTTTATAGAATAATATAATGCAAATAATGACAATTTAATCTTGTTTCCAAAAGTTATATATTCTACTTGTTTTTCTTATTACATTACATTGGCTAGAGCTCTCAGAACAATGTTACATTATGGTGGTGACAACTGACATCCTTGTCTTCTCACTTTAATGGGGGTTCCTTTAGATTTTTTCGTGTCTCTGTGCTAAGAAAGTATTTTAATCCTAGTCTGCTAAGGTCTTTTTAATAATCAGAAAAGGATGTTGAGGGGCCGGCCCCGTGGCGTAGCAGTTAAGCGCTCGCACTCCGCTGCTGGTGGCCCCGGTTCGGATCCCGGGCGTGCACCGACGGTTCGGATCCCGGGCGTGCACCGACACACCGCTTGTCAGGCCATGCTGTGGCAGCGTCTCGTATAAAGTAGAGGAAGATGGGCACGGATGTTAGCTCAGGGCCCGTCTTCCTCAGCAAAACGAGGAGGATTGGCATGGATGTTAGCTCAGGGCTGATCTTCCTCACACACACACACACAAATATATATATATATATAAGAAAAGGATGTTGAATTTATCAACCACCTTTTCAAATTTTATCAACTATATGTATTTTTTTCTCCTTTAACCTATTAGTGAATTATATGAATAGATTTCCTAATACTGAACCATGGTTCATTCCTTGAATTCAGACAATCCAATATATAATTTAGCCTCAAAATGAATTGTGAATTATATTTGCAGTAGATTTGTCTTCCTAATTATTATTACTCTAGGATAATATTCATTTGCCCTTTGAGCATATGAGAACAGAGATTGGAGAGGGGTAGCCAATCGATGCATCTGGGTAGAAAGGGGAACCGTGGCTCAGATTAGAAAGTTGCCATAGTTAATCCCACATATAATGAAACTGGGAACTGGCCACACAGGGCTTTAGTTTCTAGATTACTTACCCATTTGGGTTTCTTTCCAGCTCATTTAAAAGTGTGTGATCACAGTATTCAAAAACTAAGTGCATTTTCCTTTTTCTCCTGAACACCTCAATGAGATTCACAAGGTTTGGGTGTTTTAATTGCTGCAAAGGAATTGAAATAAAAGTTTGGTGATTTGTTTCTCATAATAACTTCTCCCCAGATCCCTTACAATTTTAAGAACAGAAGGCCTTGCTTATCATTCTCTATGTACCTTTTGTGGAGAATTTTATTACAGTTACTCACAAGAGAAACTACTCTTAGTAAGAATCATAGAATCTTAAAGTTGAAAGAAAAATTTAAGAATTCATCTAATGTACCCATAATAGATGGCAACTGAGCTGCTTGAATCTCTCTGGAGATAGCAAATAAAGTACACAATTTAAAATACAAGCAGTACAGCCAAAAATACTTTATGCATTTCGTGGAAATTCTGCATATTCAAGTCATAAAATAACCTGAACACAAAACTGAGGAAATGGAATTATTGAGTAAAAGGCTTTTAATATAAAACATCATCAATACCCGTTTAGCTTACATATTGCCGTGGATTTAATGTAAATGTCAGCTGGAGTTAAACCCAGCCTGGATTTTCACGTTGGCTCAGAAACACTAGATCCCAGTCCTCAATTCTGACAAAACTGCCTATTCTAGGAGTCCCCACAGTGAGTCTGTGTTTTTAATTTTTTTATCACATTTTCAGTTCTGTTCTTTGATTCCGTTGTTCTCTCTTATGCTTGGATGTTTTATGTGTTAAATTCTATTCCCAAACTGAAGCACTTCACAAGACAGCCTCTGTTTAATGTTGTAAACCAAAGGAAAAAGCCTGATTAAGTAAGATGATCCATCACTGGAGTAAATATATAATTTATCATCCAAACCAGGGCAGTGAGTATAAGCCAGGACTGTCCCAAACAAACTGGCCCATATGGTCACCCTTACTACAGGTAAGGAGACCGCATAATTTTGCACACATACCAGGACCCTTTTGAAAGAGGATGCTAACCAGACGGGACACTGGGACAAGAGCTATAAATGAGGACAGCTGATCACTCCCACTTATAACTCATCTTCCCCGTTGTTCTCCCAGTACAGTAGACAAACCGGCTTTCCAAATCCTATTCCATTTACTCAGGAAGATACATAAAGAGAGAGAACACAGTAGTCTGCATATAGTGGAAGCTCAAGAAATATTTTGCAGGCCCAGTGAGAGTCTTAAGAACAGGGGCTTATATAGCATCCTGTACCTCAGTATCTGTAAGCACGGCTTGATCAAAAAAGTAGAACAAGAAACATCACCCTATGACTGTGTGCCTGCTGCTCAACAGTTTGGGGAAAGGGAATCCATTATACATTGAAAATGTGCCCAGAGCACCAAATCAAAGTGCTTTCCATGTGCTCCATTGCCTAAACATGGCAGGAGGGCAAACAGCAGAGGAAACAGGTTCCAGAGGTGAGCCAGCCGCTCTGTGCTGCAGCAAACACTGCAGAATGGAAGCAAAACGGCGTCTCTACCAGGAGAGTAAGGGATCCACAGATGCTATAGCTGGATGCAATGTCAAGGTTTAACCTGGTCAAATCTGTCTCTGGGTGGATCAGCAACTTATATCTCCTTTGCAAATGAAATTAACTTAGCCAGAAAAACAGAGACTGTCTAAAGTAATACAGGCAGTAAGGGCTTGGCGGGGTGGAGAATCATATCAAATTTAAATAATAGGAAGATGTGAGGAAAGTAAGGTAGATTTATCCGGGAAGGAATCTGTTCAGGGCACGCATGGGTGTAATATACCAAAAGCAGGAAAGATGTACATTCTGAGAGCCATCACCAGAGACCAAGCTGAGCTGGAATCTGGCTACTTTTTACCTTCAACTTCATTCTCAAATTGGGGCACTTGTATGTAACCCAGGAGGTACTACCTGAGTATTAACTTTACTTGAAGACTTGGGGGGAGCGGGGGATAAAAAGCATTTTTTATTAGAAAACAAACCATTGCCTGGTTCAGACACACCCTGGAGCTCAGCTCTGTGACAGGTTGGCTGTCTCACTAGCGCTCTCTGCTGGCTAAGAGGTAACAGTAAACTTTTTTATCATGATGGATGTGCTCTTGAAAACTCCATGTATATCATATTACAGTTTAAACAAAACACTAGAACTTATTAGTTGAGGAAACCTGCTACAAACAATACTTGAAAAGGACAGACAATATGATAATTATTATGTTCCCTTATAAACTGGATTGCTGGGGTCCTAAAAACAGATGACACATGTCAAAAGCAAAGGTCAGCTGTGAGTTCTTGAGGAAATCACAGAATTTTGCTACTCAAAATGTGGTCCACGAACCAGCAGCTTCTGTGCCATCTGGGAGTTCGTTAGAAATGCAGAATTTCGCCTCACTCTACTCCTCCGACTCAGAATCTGCATTTCAACAAGGTCCCCAGGGGATTCCAATGCACATTAATGTTTGAGAAGCACTGCCCCACACCTCAGTTTCCTCTCTGATAAAATAAGGGTGCTGGATGAGAAGCATCTCTAAGGTCTCTCATGGCTCTAAAACTGTAAGATTTTTAGGATAGAAAAAAATTTACATTGAGAACTTATGATTCTTACGTGTCAAATCCTATCAGAGCAAAAACAACTATAACCAAAGCTTTGTGCAAAATGTGTATACATACCTGGGGGGGATATTCAAATGGGTCTAAGAACCTGTGGAGTGCAGGCAGGATCAATCCATATTGATGCCTACAGGGGCACCTGCGCAGTCCTGGGGGCCCCTCTGCCAGGAAATGCTCTTTTAGTTGCTGGTTGCTGGGGGGGTGGGGGTGGGGTTGCAGGGGAGGGAAGGCCAGGGCTGGGGAGGGGAATGAGGGGACTTAGGACAGTGGATCTTTACCAACCAGACTGGAAGTACTTCAATATTTTAATAATCTATAGCTGTACTCATAATAGCTAAACATCAGACTGGCCAAAGTCCAAAGTGATGATCAATTTATTTCCAAAGTTGCTGATAACAAAGGAATTTAAGTCCAATGAAAAGAAATATGTCACTGGAAAATTCTTTGTAATTTTGGCACACATATTTCACCCAATACCATAAATTACAGATCTATAGAGAAAGTTAACCTACCTTCAACATACGTATTTCTCTTAGTGCTATTTTCTTAACAACAGGATCATCTTCAGATTCCACAAATTTTTTAATAGCTACCACTTGTCCAGAGGTTTTGTTTCTGCATTTGAACACAACCCCATAAGACCCTTCTCCAATCTTAGCTAATTTTTCATACTTTTCCATTACAGTTGAAGTGACTTAAATTACTGTATTGATTGACTTGCAGTACAATGTTGCACCTGGAAAATAAGATGACTCAGCTTAATCAAGTTATCAAGGACAACGTTTTCATAGTTTATTATACAAAACCAATTTGCCTGGGATGACACAGGTTGATTTCCATCGATTAATTTTAAAAACACCTTAAAATATTTGGATGTTATTTTGTTAGTTTAGTTCAGTCCTATGCAGTTCTTCCGGCGACTACAAAGATTCCATATATTATTTCTTATAATGGGCCTGTGTTTACTTCAGTTGAATTAAAAGAATTTGTGGAAAGGAACCTTATCCAATCTATTGTTTTCATTATCCTCAAGTAAATGATTAAAATATGATGCTGTAAAATCCAGCTGAAGGAACACTGCATACTCTTGAATATGGTGTTTATCTTTTCCCTCCTAACCCATTTGAGTACTGCAGAGACTTGGAAGAGCTGAGAACAAGACAGAGCTCAAAGTGCTATACTTCCACCTGGTGGAGAGAAGAAAGAGGAAATGTGGGCCGTTGAACTAGAGCCTCATTTATTGCTCCTAGCTTTTACACATATGAAGGAACGGATCCTTAAATTCTTAGCTCCAGAAGAAAATGATAAAGCACAAAAAAGAAGGCAGATTTCTCTAATTCTTCACAAATGCTTTCCTATCTATAGTGTGATTTCTATGGAAATACTGGGTTTAATCTTTCTGTCTTGTGTCACCCACTTGTGAATTTTCGTGGTGACTGGATTACATGTTAAACAACAAATAATGCCAACGTAAATCAATCTAGGAATTAAAAATGTAAAAATTCTAATTAGTTTAAAAAATTCCACCCCACTTTATCCAGCAGAATCTTATTACTATACTCTAATAGTAAGATTAATAGCGAATGGGCTGGCCTCATGGCATAGCGTTGAGTGTGCGCGCTCTGCTGCTGGTGGCCCGGGGTTGGGATCCCGGGCTTGCACTGACGCACCGCTTGTCAGGCCACACTGAGGCGGTGTCCCACATAAAGTGGAGGAAGATGGGCACGGATATTAGCTCAGGGCCAGTCTTCCTCAGCAAAAAGAGGAGGAATGGCATGGATGTTGGCTCAGGGCTGATCTTCCTCACCAGAAAAAAAAAGAATAATAGCTAACACTTACTAACACTGTTCTATGCAAATTACATAAAATCTGCATAAATAGCCTAATAAGTAGGTGTTATTTTTATGCAGTTACACAGATAAGAAAACTGACGCACAGTGACGTTAGGATGGAATTAGAATCCAGGCAGTTGGGTTCCAGAGACCACCATTTGAATCACTACCCTATACTGCCTTTCAGTTAATTCAAAAGAATGCACAATTTGAAGAACCACTTTATCTAGGTCTTAGTATTAACAAAATGTCAAGTGCAAGATTGACTACTCTTAAAATTTCTCATGTTTTAAATGAGTATACATTTTTTTTACTTCACTAATATTCAGTCTTTTTCATCTACAGATTCTCTCAATGGAGAAAGCAATCATCTATTCTCCCTACCCACCATAAAAATACACAACTAGGAAAAGTTTACCTGGTAAATGCCTACTACCATACTATTTTACAATGCTATTTTTTTTTTTTTAAGATTCTATTCTCTTTCTTATTAAAGGGAGAAAACTTAAGCATACACACTCAAGTAACATGGAAAATTCATCATAGATTATATTCTGAAAACTCTATTAATTATGCTGTATTTTTACATAAGCATTACTATCTTAAAGGTATTTAGATATAAGCATGCATATGTTTGTTCTTTAGCCTAGTAACAGGTGACTGGGAAGAGGAGAGAAGAAACTAGGAATTTTCTTTAGAAAGTTACTGGTATAGAACTTTGTAGATTTATGAATTTAACCTACTTGATAAGCACTATGGTAACTGAGGGAAATTATGAATATGCCAAAAAGCTTAATTTTTTGGCATATTTGTTATTTTCTTATTTCCCTCTAGGTAGGTGATTTGATATATTGATCTATAATTTTCCTTTTTTTCAACAAGTTCAATCATGATGGATTCCTCAGACTAATACTTATCTCTCAGTCACATCAACCAAACTGCTGGATACAATAAAACAAAGCACCAGAAAATAGTACTTTACCTGGTAACCTCTCAATATTATCTGTTTTCTAAAGCCCTTAAATGTTCATGGAAGATGAATCTGGGTATGCAGGAGTTAGGACATGGCAGGAATTCCACAAAGGAATTTACGGCTCTAATTCCAGCTTACTAGGACTCTATCAGAGTTTGTAGAAGCTGTAATTCCTAATCTCTTACCTGAGGTCTAGACCAGCTATTTAACTGCTTGATGAACATCTCTGCACAAATGGACAGGATCATCTCAAAATCAGTATGTTCTAAACCAAATGCCTTCTTTCTATCCTCTACCCTTACACAAAGTTCACAAACCTGCTCCACATGACACCTAAATGGCTTTCAAGATACGTATGGTGGAGAACTTTGAGGTAGCCAAGGACAATGCCTAAATCTAATCTCTCTTCATATATCCTTCACAAAGCTATAGAAATCAGAACAACAAAACCACATAAATCCAATGCCTTCAACATCACAAGAAGCCAGAGGAATCTATAAACTTAAATAGAAAACTAAACCCCAAATTCTGGAAGAGATATCTCTTGAGCTCCCACTATAAGCCTTTGCAGAAAGCAAAGATAGGAGTGGGGTGGGATCTGGAAAAACTGTAAAGAAGAGAGCAGAGAAAAAGAAGGGCCTAAGACAGACTTAAAATTGCCCCTCAGAAGAGAAAATACATTATAAGTGCAAAAATACTGAAAGAGCGTCCTGGTAGATCTGAGCATTCATTACAGGGAAGGGACTTAAAAGTACCTAGGTATTGAGGAGGCATTGGTCAGTATGGCACTACTCTACTGGAGACTGAATAGTGAAGGGAAAAAGAAGCAAGGGGGATAAATTTGCAACCCTGCAAGACAAAAGAAAATCCGCAAACTGAAGGTCATGCAAACACTTCCCTCACCACTAAGGAAAAAAAGGGCTATTCATTAAAGAAACTGCACTTTGGTACAGTTACAGAGAAGGCTCTCTTGAACTAGGACGATTGTCAATTACCACAGGCCAAAACCTGCCCAAGAAACAAAACAGAGGAAAGCAGTCTCCATACAAAGCTATTATTGGAAGAAAACAGACATGAGAATTAAAACATTTCAGCTGACAAAAATCATTTCAAAAAAACTTAACCATGAAGCAGAAGAAAGGTAACACAATACTCCAAACCAATTTAAATATCCTCTAACAATTATTTGGAGATAGGAAGAGCCACTTTGAATCAGAAATTCAAATAATAAGACCAGAAGTTGATGGAAAAAGTAGGAAAAAATGACAGTTGATTGAACTCAGGCAAAGAAATAGAAGGGAAAAATAAAATCATCTCAGAAATAAAGACTAAATAACAAGATGCAAATGGGAGAATAGACTCAAATGAAAATTTAGTAAGAGGAATTAAAGAAAGGCAGAAGAGCAATTAAGAGAACAAAAATGAGATGAAAAAAAAGAACAGAGTTTAGAGAGAAAGTGGTTGAAATGGAAGACAGGCAAAGAAGACTCAACATATGTATAACTAGAGTCCCTGAAAAAGAAAACAAAATAATGGAACATGTGCAACTATGACATACAACTATCTACTGGGGCTTTGGGGAAAAAATAAATAAATAAATAAACTTATAAAAAACAACAAAACAATGGAACAGAACCAATAGAAACTATAATCCAAGAAAAATTTCTGGAAATAAAATAAGATCTGAATATATATATTGAAAGGGCCCACCAGGTAGTTGGGAAAACTGACCAGAACAATCAACTCAGAGATATATTTGAATAAAACTATCAAAGATAAAGAAAATACTCTCATAGCCCCTAGGCATAAACACTAACTTAAGCGGAAGAGAATTAGAGTGACATCAAACTTATTGACAGCAACATACAATGCAAAGGGAAAACATAGCAGCACTGTGAAAAAATTCAAGGGAAAAAAGTGAAAACCAAGGATTTTACACTCAGCCAAGCTGTCCTTCAAGTATCAAGGTTATAGCCAAACAGTTCAAAACATGCAAGAACTCCAGGAATATTGCACTCATGAGCCCTTCTCAAAGAATCTGCAAGAGGATAACTTTCAGCCAACCAAGAGTTGACTGGGAAAACTTCAGCAAAAGGATTTACGGTAAGCATTTAATATATTTAATTAAAGACTAAAACAAAGGTGGAGACAGGATTGGAAGAATAATACATAAAGAAAATAATGCATAAAACTATAAGTTTTGATAATGTAGAAAGTAATGCAACTAATAATATGCTAAAAGAATGGAGAAAGAGGAAAGCAGAACAAGCTCACTGATAACTGAATAGGTGGGAGTAAAAAATACCATTAGGAAAGCTGACAAATCAGAGAATAAAACGTTAAATAAGAAAACAGGGCCTAAGAGCATTTAAAAAAGTATAAGTCTAAAGGTAACTAGTTGAACAAAAATACAAACTTTCCTAAATACCAACAGAAATTTAAAAAATAAAAATCAAACACGATACATAGAGGAAGAGACAGGAAATTTAACATTATACACATAATAATTATACCATAAAACAATATGACAGGGGCCAGCCCCATGGCTTAGCGGCTAAGTGCTCGCACTCCACTGCTGGCGGCCCGGGTTCGGATCCCGGGTTCTCACCGATGCACTGCTTGTCTGGCCATGCTGAGGCGGTGTCCCACATACAGCAACTAGAAGGATGTGCAACTATGACATACAACTATTTACTGGGGCTTTAGGGAAAAAAAGGAGGAAGATTGGCAATAGATGTTAGCTCAGAGCCGGTCTTCCTCAGCAAAAAGAGGAAGATTGGCATGGATGTTAGCTCAGGGCTGATCTTCCTCACACACACACACAAAAAAAACAATATGACAGAGTAGAGACCAATATCAGTTATATCAATAAATACGAATGGGCTTAATTCATTTATTAAATGAAAAAGATGTTCAATTTGACTCACAAAG